AAAAAGGTTCTTTAAAATGCTTTTTTAAAGAACCATTTGAAGGACCTTTTTTAAAATGGTCCTTTGAAAAACCATTAAAGGTGCCCTAAAGAACCATTTCTTGATGGTTCTTTGGGGCACCTTTAAAGGTTCTTCAATGAACCACTGAAAGAAATGGTTCTTCAAAGAACCATTGTTTGAGCGGTTCTTTGTGGCACCAAAAAAGGTTCTTCTATGGCATCAGGCTAAAGAACCACTTTTGGTTCCAGTTGGCACCTTTATTTTTCTGACACAAACAACAGGAGGAACACACGTTGGAAGATGGTTACCTTGTCCAGGTATAAAGACATCAACATTTCTGCTCTGATCAGATGATGGCTCCTCACAGGTGTATCTCCCAGAATTCCTCCATGTGATGTTAAAGAGATGCAGGATGCTCATGGAGCCTCGATTGTCCAAGAGGACTCCATCTACTGGCGGGTCCTGAGGAAAATGCCACTTCACCTCACTCCACCCCAAACACTCCTGAGGAGAAGAAAAGATACCTGAGAGAGAGGTACTGGAAGACATCTGAAGACAGAGACAGGTAGGTGTAGAGACAGACAAGTGTTACTGACCACTGTGTAATTGGAGTTAGAGGGGACCAGAACTTCAGAGGCGGATGGCAGCAGCTCCAGAGAAACTGCCCCTTCAGGATGAACCAGGAATACACCTACACAGAGAGACAGGTAGACATTCAGGTGTCACCTCTAAAATCCTACTGATGCTTTTACGTTATTACTCACCCAAGAGAAACCCCAACAGGCTGATATTTCCTGTTCCCCTGATGGATGCCATCATGGCTGCCAACCCTGAGCAGTGACAGGTGGAGGAGAGGTTTCAAAATAAAAGTCTAACATCATTAAAACACAAAATGGACTTCCTGTGAAGCTCTGATATTTGGTGGAAGCTTTAAAAAATGCAAATAGTTGAATGTAATAAGTGTTGGATGCTGCAGGCTGTGTACAAATACTGTAGTAATGATTGTCTGCTATTACTGCTCTATATTCCAGAGAGATGTGTTTACTGCATGTCAGTGGCAGCTGGAGACTGCAGAAATAATAAACTCAACGAAGTTACTTTGAAGGGAGGTGTCTAAGAAGCTTCATTAAAGTTTAACAAGTTTTTGGACTTTTTTCATTCCCTGCATTCAGTCGGCGTCTGTTAAATCTGTCGAGGTGACTGATGCTTCAAACAGACGTGAACACATTCCTGTGTGTGTGCATGTGTTTTCACACAAAGCAGCCACTCACAGCCATCCCTAGGGACTTCAGCCAATCAGAGCCCTGGTTGATGGAGAGAGAATGAGGAATGCCAGCTGACCACCGAAGAAGAAAATAAACAGCGAGGTATTTCCTGTGGGCAGCAGAGAGGAGAGCAAGCCTCATCTCAGGGTTTAGCCAATCACAGCTCTGAAGCTCTGTGCCCTGACTAATGCTCAGCAGGTGATGTCACCAGTCAGCTGCCGAGTCTTCCTCTTCATCCCTACCTCCACTGTCACAGAGTGTCAAATTTGAGCGTCCAGATTGGTGGCTTCAGTCTCTCTTGTGATGTCACCAATGGAAGTTTTAAAGGGCTTTTTATTAACTCTCTTAAGGCTGAAGAGAGAGGAATGCCTCAAATGTGTGCTTGAGTAAAATTTGCTTTGAAGTACTGATCTTGTGATCAGGTTACTGACCAACAGAAGACACTCTTTTACAGCTGCTAAGTTAAAAGATCACACCATTGTTTTTCCAGCCTGCCGTGTGTGTGTTGTGACTGCTGTGTGTGTTTGGTTCAAACTGACTGTGCAGCACAAAGCTGATCTCAGATCGAATCACCAACATGTTCATCGGCCGACGTTCTTCCAACTGTGTTTTTGGATTTTTGTCTAGTTCGTGCTCAGTAAAAATCACCTTTAAGCAGCTCTGATCAGAAATATGAGCAGCTACAAGACATCGATCGGCAAAGTAGGAGACAGCGAATCTGACTATGGTGATCTATTTAAGTAGTATTCCAGATAGGTAATCATACACCTGTTCATCAACACTGAATATTCTACATGTAATCATTTCATATCCTGTCACACTCACCTACTCTACAGGTGTGCCACCTGCCTGTCACTGCTCCATACTAACGCTGTGATCGGTCACCTCAGACCTGTAGCACACAGCACACACACACTGTAACACAATTAAACTGATCAAACTGCAAACCACGAGATTTATTGTTGGTCAAGTCGATGCATTTGAATGATCAGCATGGCAAACATAAAAACAGAAATCTAACGAGAAGCAGGTGAGGCCCAACAGCAACCAACCACAGTTCAGATAATGCACAGAAAAAATAACTGGATATACGCTCGTGTATGATGTTATTACCACACAATAAGTTTGATCAGAATATTTCTGACACTTAAAGTATTACAAACACCAAACATGTAAGGAACCAAACTGGATGGTCAGGTAGGGCTGTTGGATCTGAAAAGTTGATTTTCATAGATTAGATTTTCATCAATAATTCTTCAGTCTGTGCTTTTAAAATGTTTTGAAACAAGTTCAAACTCATAAAAACAGTAAATCTAATAAAAATGAGAATTAGTTCACCAAACCAGTTAAAAACACGCAAACTGAGCAAATATACCAAACCTACAAATGGAAACATCCTACAAGAAGGTTCAAAATATGTTTACACTCATATATGCCTCTCTTCAGCGTCTTATTCACTTCAATTCTTCATGATGAAGAAGAGAACATATGAATATTCGGACTCTGTGGTGACACACAGCAGGCTCTCCCTGAGCCTGGTTCTGTCAGAGGTTTCTCACTGTTAAAAGGGAGTTTTTCCTTTCCACTATCGCCAATGGTGTTGGTTACGTTACTTGAAAATAATAATTAGTTACTATTAGTGATTACTTCTCCAAGAAATTAATCCAGTTACTTTACTGATTACTTATTTTCAAAAGTAATTAGTTACTTTATTACTTAGTTACTTGTTAAAAACATGGTACACAACCTGAATACGTAATAAAGCAATAGGCCTTTCTGCTCAATTCTATTTTTTTCTGCATAATCCATCATATAAAATGACGCTTGTATGTCATTGTCAGCTGCCTGAGACACAGGTTTGAAGATGTGAGGTTCAATTAGAGGGAGGATCAGCTGTGGTTCTGTGGTTGCTCAGTTTTTGAAGATGTTCTGAAGCTGAGACATGAAGAGGAACCTGCTGCCCAATCAGAGCTCCCACTGTGAGGAGATGTCAGAGTTCAGGAGGAACGTCTCTTACTGAGCCCAGTTTTATCTATCTGATTTTAATCTGTCAGTTTAACCCCAGTTTCACTGGCAGTAAAATACCTTTATAGAATAGTAAATGGCCTGTATTTGTATAGCACTTTACATAGTCCCTAAGGACCCCAAAGCACTTTATACATTCAGTCATCCACCCATTCACACACTGGTGATGGCAAGTGTCCAGCGAGGCTGCCGGACACTGGCACCACCGGGCCCTCTGACCACCACCAGTAGGCAACGGGTGAAGTGTCTTGCCCAAGGACACAACGACCGAGACTGTCCAAGCAGGGGCTCAAACCGGCAACCTTCTGATTACAAGGTGAACTCACAACTCGGATGGCGCCACGATCGCCCACAATCACTCAGTAACCTCCAGGCCGACAGGTTAATCAGATGTTCTGAACTGGTCGTAGGTGTGGATCTCTCTGTGGCAGCATTGTGATACCTGTGACAAGTGTGATAGGCTGCAGGCAGCCAATGAGCACTCAGGACGGACGGATGTGTGGGCAGTATTTCCTGTCTCTGTGTGGTGCTCCTTTGTTTGATTTTCATGCAATAAATGTGAAAAAAAAGACAGACTTGTACCCGCAGCGGGGACTCTGACTTTTCTTTGGTGATGCAGAGGATGTGAGGAGCTCCTGCACGCTGGAAGTTCCGCCCCCTCACTAGCCTTCAGCCTCATGATTGCTGCACAAGCTTCCCTCCATCACTGATCTGTTCAGCAACAAACTGCAGGAGGAATACCACATTCAGGTGCCGATACTCAGCTGAGATTCACCTGACCCACTGCTATGTGCACCAATGCAGTGAAGGTATTGCACACAGGACTTACCTCGAGCACTGGGAGTACGTACCTCGCAGTACGTACTCCCAGTGCTCACAGTCTTTACTCTCAGTACTCAGAGTACTTATTCGCAGTACTCACACTATGTACTCACAGCTTTTACTTGGAGCACTACTTAGAGTAGTTAAAGTATTTACTTGCAGTATTTACTCACAGCAGTATTTCAGTATTTCTAGTACATGTAGTACTTGTACATAGCAATACTGTGTGGAATCTAATCAGGATTCAGAGAAAGAAAAGAGAGTAGAGTTGGTTCAAACCTTCTGAAGCTGCTCCTTTTCCTTCTCTTCTTCTTCTTTTCACTGTTTGTGTCTCCTCTTCTTCTCTTCAGTTCATTCCAGACGAACGACGAATGGAAACCAACAGACTGACTCACAGTGAGAGAGGGAGACATAGGGCCAGAGTGGAGAGAGAGAGAGTCTGCAGTACTGAGGGAAGAAAACGGGTGAGAGACACAGACGCACATAGAGAGAGAGCGAGAGAGAGAAAGAGCATCTGTTTTCAATCTGTTTCTCTGCCCTCCCCCCTTCTTTGACAGGAAATGAACCGAGTGCAACACACACACACACACACACTCACACACACACATACTGAAACACACATACAAAAAAGTCAGTTTTCTGTTTTACAGTCAGACTTACTGCTTTGTGTGTGTGTGTGTGTGTGTGTGTGTGTGTGTGTGTGTGTGTGTGTGTGTGATTCTGTGTGTTTGTGTTTTGTAGTAGACTTTATTAAACAGAGTGCTATGTGAGAGAGTCAGCTTACTGACTGATCAGTAATAATTGTCAGGGTCCTGG